AGAATATTTACAGAAAAAAAATATGATGTTAATAATCACAAGTCATCCTTTCACGCATATTTAATTCTAAATTCTATGATTAACCAAAACCGTCTTTTAAGTCCTAATTTTGCCGTTAGTATCCTAAACCTGCTACTTTCTTAAAAAAACAGTAGCTTTGCAGTACATGATATTGGACTTATGTCTACAGGCGACCTATACAATAGGATCAGGTGAGATTTTATCTGCCGTAGAATACTGCCCATCTAGTAGATTTCTGTACTTTGTGAAGATAATTCAAGTGTATATTGAAATCTGGATGCACTAATTGACAGAGCAAATTACTTCTGGAACCATATTTCCAAAGGGCCTCTGAATTTATTCCTTCAATTTTTACATGCATGGGCTTCCATACCTTTGTGAATTTAACGTTTGTGTACATTACTCTGACATTTCCTAGCATTTGAAGAACAATTTCAAAGACTATTTTTGCATATGTGGTATTAGGACATTTTAGTAGAACAGATTTTAGAAAACTCATTTACATTCTGCACATTTAGCCATCTTGGTATCTTTATCCTACTTTCAAGCACTTTAATGAAAATTTTAACATGGAATTTTCTTAGAAGAGAGGCTGAATTCCAGGCATAAAACTGAAAAAGAAGAAAAAAAAAAACCTGCCTCATTTTCTATGCTTAGTTCCTGTTCTTCAGAGGAGGAGAAGCCTGAAAAGCTTTTGACGGTAAACCTAAATATCACCTAGCTCTTTAATAAAATCTGTCTGGTATACCAGGTTCTGAAATCATGGTACCCAAAAAACCCACAGACGATTAATAATGAGGTCAGAAATACAAATAAATTTACTTCTAATGAAGACTGGAGACACAGTAATCAAAGTGTTAAAAATTCATTTCATGCACATCTCATTTGCCTCTTAGCTGATATTTATCACATAATTCTGTGAGAAAGTAGAGGCCTAAGATGCTCCAGATAAATGTCTCAATTAATTGTACAGAGGTAGCCCTCTTTGAGCTGAACCAGAGCTGTGAGCTCTTTATTAAAAGCACTATTCTGTAGCCTGTAACCTTGTTCCTTGACTCCTCTCTAGTTTCCAATTTAAACAAGTCCCCATGCGGCCCACTCTAAAGGGCTTTGTCTCCCTGTCATTGTTAAGAGAGCCGAGGCATCCTGGAAGTGTGAAATCAGACCTCATGAGCTGAACGGTTCCCCAGGGAACGCCGGACCGCGCAGAAGGTCAAAGTCATGGGCTGGACCATCTGAAAGTGTCTGATCGCCGGTCTGTGACACAGCGAGTGGGGTGGGGGCAGGGGGAGAGGGGAGCCAGGGGGCTAGAATTGAACACGTCTTAATTAAAGCCCAACGACAGCAAAATAAACTGTTTTCTAGGCAGGCCGTCACACAGAGCTTGGATTTTGCTCTGCTAATGAATCTGAGTGGCTAACTATTATTCCTTAAAATAACAGGACTTTCACTGAAGTTGACCAAACCTGTGGCACATCTTTTCCCACCCTGCTTGCTTCTTGTCAATAATAAGGCACAGGTTTTGAATTGTATATCGTGGTACAAGGAAAAGGAGGAATGCATCTGCCCCAGTAGAGGAGACGCAAGCACTGCCTGCAAAGCCAGCAGCCTTCCACCACGACCCACCTATACCTAACTCTGCTGCAGATGGAACATGCTTAGCTGACTATTGCCTAAACTGGCACCATGTCATGGTGAAGGGTCCACTGCTTTCCAAAACTCATATGGGTGAGGTGAACAGAATATGTATTAATTTCAGAGGCCAACTGGCACGATGAGTCCATCACACTTTACGTTTTACTGCACCATCAGAATATTTCTTCATGTAAAAGGACGTCACTGTAGGCACACAGGCTGCTATGCCAGGGCTCCACAAGCAGCTGAACCCTTGAGAAGGTCTGCCTGTCTTCCAGAGGAACCACAAGCAAGCAAAGACATGGCAAAAGGGGAAAATAAAACTTCTTTTAGTTGAGTATTTCAGGAGAAAGCAGCCTTGAACTGAATAGCTAAAACACAATGGAAGATTTAAATCTTCTCAGGAAGAGATGGAAAAAGTAAACACCACACTCAATGTCTTTCCATTTGTTAGATTACAGTTTCAAAAAAACATATTAAAAAATATGTATTTTCCAGGAAGGGGTATTTGCTGTGACCACTATTTCCAACAGAACATAATTTAGCATTGGTGGAAGCCCTAAAACTGTGTTTTGACTATGGCAAGATGCTCTTTTTTCTGGGGAAAACATGCTCACAGATACGGCAATTCTCTCAAAGGCCCCAGTCCTGGAAGACACCCTATTTTTCAGCTCTCCCCGAAATCAAAGTGAGCTTTCAAGCACCAGCGCAGAATGTCTCAAACCCTCAGTGGTCCTCCCTTTCCTAGACTTCCCTGCAAGCAGGCTGAGTGAGAAGACTCACTTTGTTCTTTTCTGGGTTATTTTTAAAACCCTTCTACGGCACATTCAAGTGGCACCCCATTTTCAAACTGGTAGTGCCCCCTTACTCCCCTGCCCACAACTTCACCGAAGTTTCAGCCCACCCTGGCATCTTGTTCAATGCATGTGTATGTGGGGGGGGTGTAAACTGAAGCCTGAACCACCCCCCTTAATCTCTCTCTTCTTTGTAAAACATCTGTACTAACCTTAGCGATTTGAAGTGCACTGTCCAACACTGGGCTATTGAGACTGGAGAAAAAACTGCCCTTGACTATCAACAGTTTATTAGGGGCTTAACTGAAGTGACCTACTGTAGTAGCATTCAGCTGAACAAGGCTATGGGCTTTCTGTGGAAAGGAGAAGAATTGAGGGTTTCATTAAAAAGTAATTTGTGCTTTTTACGCATTCATTCAACGGGAGTCTCAATTGCTCTTTATTCACACAGAGTTAATACAGTAGTACAATGCTGCTCAATGAATGTATGGTAACAAAAGAAAAATTTCACATTTTGAAAGGAAAAAAAAAATCCTTGCAACCGTAGTAAGATTGATGACTACTTAAAAGATTACTGAAATCTTTTTCCGTCTATGCTTATGCTTAATGATGGAATATTAAGGATTTTTAAAATCCATTCAGCCCAAACTAATAAATTTTGATTTATTACTTCACATGAAAAGATGCCTGAAAGTGAAATGGGATATGTTCAGCAGACAGGAAACAGAGCAAATCACACAGGTACTATACAGGTGTTTCAGCTACTTTTCAGACTCCGGGGAGGGCAAAAGATTAACTCTGAAAAAACAATATTGTAAGAAGAGCAAACTAGTCCTTACCTTTTACTAACACAAGCAATCCTTAGTCGTGTAAGCTACACCACTGATGACAGCACTCTCCACATTGACTAATACGTATACGTATTGCTAAGTGCTAAAGGTGGAGGGTCAAGTTTTATACAATTTTTGCAAACATGATTTATTGATAATCACCAAATAACTACTATGAGTTATTTCTAAATATTACTATTCAAAGTTTAATCTGAAATGAATGATCTGTACATACCCATAAGTTACTAAAAATAGCTATAAATTACTATGATAGTTAACAGAACCCCTTTGTCCTCTTTTCAAAATAACAGATATTTTTGTCCAAAACATACAATGATTTCTGTAATGTCTGGAATGCACAGCCATCTAACAAAACATATCTGCCGTATAAATGTTTTTTCTTGCTAATGAATAAAATATGCGGGACATAGGAAGGTATTCAGTGTTCTTCCCTGCCTTCCTGACTGTGACTCTAAACACAATGTCTGAAAATTTTTGGTAGCTCTGTACATCTTTAATTGAATCAAATGTATTTCCAAAAAATTTGTTCAACCAGCACAAATGACATGTTGATCTGGAAAAGTCGAAGACTGAACGAGGTCAGGGACTGAATTATCCCATTTGCCCCTGAATAACTTAATCTCTCTCTCTGTTCAGACCACATTGGATTATAAGGTCAAAGCAGAGTGAGGAATCTTTAGAAGCATTTCTCCAACCTCCCTGAAAACAGAATCTGTTATTTTGTGTGCCACAAACTGGATGATCAGTTTCAGCAATAAAATGTTTGCTCCGTTACCTTGTCTGGGAAAAAAAAAAAAATACTGGTACTATGCTAATTTACAAAAAACTATTAAAAAGTGAGTATGTTGCTATCTATCTACATCTGCTTCTGTAACAGAACATTTATGTCCAAATTGCAGTTAAACCAGCTAGATTAGCATAGCTTCGGGTTTTTTTCTTTCTTTTTTTTTTTTCTTTTTTTTTTTTTAAAGCAGAGATGGCTATTTTCTGACACGGAAGCAGCTCGTTTTGCTCCATTCAACCTGTGCAGTGTGAAGGTGATTGTACTTACAGCAGATAACTTGGACATTTCTGGAGAAATATGGTCAGTATGGCTGAAATACTTTTTCTTTATTTTGAAAAGCAAAAGGTTAAATTATCCATTCAGCTTGTAACACATAAAATAGAAAATAAAAAAAGATTTTCTTAATTCCCTTCTTAAACAGATAAGCAGTAGTTACAGGAAACTGCATTTATTTGAAATGTCTGAAACCAACAGCAGCCTTGATAAATATCTGGCAGATATTAAGCTGTTCTTTTGGCAACAACTTTAAAGTAGTATCTAAGTCTAGCACCTTTCATTTGTCTTGTCCTCAGGAATTCAGCTTTAATTCGGATAATTTTGTATATTTTTATCTACTAGAAAAAGAATTCTTTTCTATGTATTTTTTCCAGGACCTCTGATGGCGAAAAATGTATATTTCACCCTTCTGAAAAATAACCTACATAGGGCTCTTCTAGCATTAGAATGACTTAATGCCTTGCTTACAAAAGTTTTGTTTGTTTGTCTGCGGATATTTTCCTGAACGAGTGGAAGGTGAGACTGTGCGAACAGACAATAATCTTCAGATAAACTTCTGTTTTAACCATTTTTTTCACTTCTAAAAAGGCCTAGTCTTACTACAGTATTTACTGTCACAAAAACTAAATGAATCCTTGCCTGTGACATCAGCTGCCATCAATGCTTCTGCCCTGATGACCTTCACCTGAAGAAATCCCACATCCTTTATGTTATGGAACATCGTCATTGGACTCTAAAAAATAATAATAAAAAAAATTTTTGGATTGCAAAAAAGACAAACCAAAAGCAGTATTAATAGTCTACTCCTTACCCCAGATATAAATTAGTGTAATCCTAACATACTCATACTTTTAAATATTATTTTCCGAAGAATGTACAGTTGTCAGTGTTTCTTTCAGTATTTTGCAACTACAACTTACCAATGAAAAATGCAAAGGAAAAATTAGAATATGAATGATTAAATACAACACTAATTCTACTGAATTAATCCCCTAACAGTACATGAACAATTGCTCATTAAAATTTTAAATTATAGCAGTGTAATAACAAAACTAATATAAACAATAAAACACTTCCTCTCCCTGAATGCTTTTGTGAGATCCATGTTCACATTTTCCCTTTGATGGCTCCAATAATATTCTGAACAGTGACTCAGGGCCAATACTGTTTTTGTTGTAGGTGCCCATTATATGCAACCTTGCATACAGCATATATGCATATATAAGCCTGCATATAGCTTGCAAATAACAGGCAAAAACAATCAAAAGAGGATGATAACAACTTAATAATTTTCATAATAATCACGTGCAAAAAAGATAAAAAATGAATTAAAAGATGGTTCCAATTCCATTGCAGAAAGCTCTTATTAAAAATCATTATTTTTTTAACATGAATTTCTGCAATATCTACATATATTAAAAAGAGGGAAAAAATTACAGAGTAGACTAACACTTGCATTTGTTCATCCAACAGAGTTTTAGAAAGCTGCTTGGAAATTGTGTTCCGTTGCCGCGCTTTTTTCAAATAACTAAAAGTAACAAACTGGGAGTATTGCACCAGTTAGGTGTGATATGCCAAAAGTCTCAAGCTCTAACTTTCAATATAATTTAAAAGTTGCAGCATTTCAAATGATAGAACATCGAATGCAACTTTGAATCTGCAATCAATTAATAACAAACCTGGCATTATCATTCAGTTTTTCGATAACCTAAGGGAGGAACTCCAAAAGAGGAGACTAAAATTGGATTTTCAAATCCATGTTAAATCATATATATATATATGTGGCCTGATTTTTGGTTGGTTTTGCAAATCTTGCTCCTAAATACTAGCACACACCTTTATTTAGAAGTATTTTAAAATCTGGACTAATGCATTTAATGCCTGTGGCCTTTTCTAAAACTTTAATGTAGTGCAGGTGAAATCTTTTCCACTGTTTATGATAATATCCACATTTCTAGAAAACGCAAACGTCAGGTAAAACACCAAGTCAACAATCCTTTAATTTATTATCAAGGCAAAACTGACTGTTAAGGAAAAGCAGAATAAATAACATCACTGATCTGAAAACAACAGGTGCTGCTTAAATGAAATATTAAATGTCAGCTTGCAAAAACTACAGTATGTTTGTGCATAGATAACCCATCCACTAAAATGTTAGACTTATAATATGCATCCCTGTCTTTTTATTTGTAAGACAATTCTAACAGTTAATTCACACTCTGACATCAATTTCACAAGCCCCAACTGACCATTTACTGTGTACAGTGAAGGTCTGACCTTGGTATACTGAACTGAGGAATCCAGTTAAGTGTAGTACCCCACATGCTACATGCATACAAATACATGCATGCATGCTATCACAGGACAATGGTTAATTAATGTTTATAATGTTTAATATGTTTAATATCAGAAATATGGCTTAAAAATACTGATAGTCAACTTTAATCGGTCAACTCAACCCCCTGCTTATGTGCTTACAAGCTGAGGGTGGCGGAGACGGTGCTACAGATAGCACTGTTATAATTCAAAAGCATGTTGGCACCATCCCTCATTTATTACAGTAACGATCAAGGTTTGGAAGCTTCTTATCAGAACTAGTACCACAACAGAGATAATTCTGCTCTAATAACATGATGGAAGTGGAAGGATTTACAAAAATGTTTCCACATTTTACCCGTTTCCCAATGACCAAAACAAACACCAAGCTGCAGAAAGAAAACAAAGCAAAAAACAGAGAGCAAGCCAGGCAACTGCCCCACTTCTTGCAATGCCGTACAGTCCCCTTTTTCCAAATTTCATCATGGTAATCTCAGTCGGCAAAAAGGCACCAGTGCTGTATTTCACTTTGCTACCTTTGTTAGCACCCCACAGAATAATTATTTTTGAACTTTTAGTTCCAGCAAGTCAGCTGGCTTAGATTCACTTACTGCACATCGTGACTGCGGAGACTGCTGAAAATGTATACAATGCCATGGCAGAGACTCTGGAGAAGCAAATGTCTTTAATACATTACTTTAAATACATAACTTTAAGTAATGATTTATCAGATGATATTCTGTTCTGTTATTTATGATTATTGTTGAAGGCCTCAAACCCGCATGGTTTCTGAGGCCTGAAATTTCCATAGCAGAGGAACCCGTGATTTGCTGTGAATCTTTTCAGCCCTCAATAGATGGGAAAAGATTGAAATGCTCTGGATATGAGTCCTCTTTATTTTTTTAATGAAAGGCTGTATAATATATTTTCTGTATGGCTGCAGCAGCTGTCAGGGAGAGCATCTCAGTTCAGCTCTATTATGGGAGAAGCAATACCCCATCCTATGGCATCAAGATACACTGAGGGGCCAGTCCTGATTGACAGCTTGTCACCATGACGTCTTATTCCATCTCTGTTATGGAGAAAATTAATGTCACACCACCAGCCTTATGACTCGCTGTCATCTTAGAACTGCTCACCTTTTATCAATGCTCTAAATAACATTTCAAGCCCATCGTCTCACGGTGGACAATCTGGTCAAGGGACATTAAATCGGATGACTGTGAAATGTCATAATAAAAATGGAATGCTAACAACTTCTTCTCTAAACTAGCTCCTCTGGTTTTTAAAATGTGACAAGGGGGACTGCAGGTTCAGCACACCCGCTCTGAAAAGGTCATACAATCTCTCTTGGTCTGTACCCGTTAATGCGCCCCCCTCCTCACCCCAAAAGGAATTAATCTTTTCAGACAATTGTGGTAAAATAATGGTTCAAACAGTAATGCCTGTTTAATTTGTAAGGCTCTGATGTTCAGCTACAAATGGTTAAATGACAGTAATAGAGTCATTTTCAAAGGCTATTTGATCTGATGGCAAGGTCAGCTCATTAACTGTTTTTGGCTGCAGAAAGGGTGCAAAATACATTTCTCAAATGGAAGCTGGATTTTTTAAGAGTATGAAAAATAAACCCCAAAATCCAGGCATTCAATGGGGAACAGTACATCTTGCTAATTGCATACTCTTTCCTTTTATCAGTTCCGAAGTAGAGATATGAATACCAAAGACAAATCAAACATCAATGAAAATAAACTATTTGAATTTCGTTCATCCTTGTCATTTCATTCTTCTGCTGTCCACTGGTCATTTTAATAAAAACAGTAAAATTTATCAAAAAGGTATATTGATGCTACGATTTTCAAAAACACGTAATGAGAAATTCATGCCTCTGCAATATGAACATCCTCCCAAAATATAAATGTTTTCAAATGCATACAGTAATGTAAATATAAGAACAGACACACATCCATGCATATGTAAGAAACAGAAATAAATAGATCAATCTTACATCACATAATTATGCTTTACACCGGGGACAAAAAATTGGAATTTAGGAAAACCGATTCATAATACACAGTCGTAACATGTTTCCGTTTCTATACTGCTACTAAATTATCAAAACGATCAGTATCAGTTGACTGACATCATCACATACAATAATCCACAGAAATGCAGTACTGTTGCACTTGGTAGCAAGAAGTGTGTTACCTCGAAAACGTATCCATAAGAAATTTATTGCATTTGTAAAGATATATTCTAACAACCATAGACTGTGTTGGTGGATTTCAAAATGTGCAATAACTCTCTTAATTGTAATTATTTTTCGAAGATTGTGCACAATACTTTAGTTCTCAGTTGGTTTAGGAATATTATGTTTAGCCTCACTAAGTCACCTCTATTAAACTGTGTTTATGATAACACTATTGGTGTATGAGTTGTACAAGCATTAGCAGACAGCTGATTCAGTGGAGATAGCCAGAATAAATTTGCTGAAGCGCACATCCTGCTAATCTGTTTGAAGAATATTGTACAGCATTAGTACTAGCACTTCATGTTATCTGCACAGCCTGATAAGGTACATCTTTATTAAATTCAGTTATTGAAAGCATGTCAGTCATGGAATAGGAATATTTTAAAATCTAAAAAAAAAAATTAAGCGGCTCTTTGTTAGTCAGAGCTTGGTTTAATGGCTGAGTGTCTAGAGAAGCCTTTCTAAACACCTGGCAGCATTGTACAATAAAAGCTTTGTAATTTTAAGTGGAAATAGCTTCCCCCCCCGCCCTTTCTCCATGTGTAGTGAGACAGTTACTTTAGTGATTTAGGTATTAGCAAATGCTGGAGTAAGAGCTCCCCTCTCTGTTGCTTTGATAAAACTACACAGATTCTGTGTAATGTGAGGATGCTGGGAAATGAAAATAATTTGCTTCAGAATATTTTGAAATGAAAATATTGTTTAAAACAATTATTTTGATGATACAAAATACTGCTCCAGCCTCTAATGTGCAGACAAAAAATAAGTTTTCTTGCCCTTTTGTAGATGCTCAAAAACAAGCTGAAAACTATTGGCACCTCAGACCGTTTGGCATAAACACTCACCAGAAACTGTACAGTCACTGAGTGACCCCTTACTTATTTTGTGCTTGGTAAAAATTATCTGCAAGGCAGTAAAGTTAACTTCTTTATGTCACATGATCATATCAAATAGCTGAATTGCTATGTAAAAAATGCCTTACTGTATAAAGAGGATTTGTAGCCTTCTTGATGTTACCTGTACCACCTGTGATAATAATTAGTAACTAGTTTAAATGATCGTCATTGGCTGAGTCCAATAAGGAGATAAAGGATATATTTAGGTGTGTCATCGTGCCGTGTGTCCTCCCCTCCCCCCCCCCGTACATATTATCTATGTAAGCAAAAGTTTTGCAAACAAAGGGCAAAAGAGAAGTACTCCATACATATCTCTTCAGTATCTCCTCTCGCTCCTTCTGGTCCTCCAAGGAGTTGACGGAGAGGTCAGAGATAGTGACAGCAGCTGAAGCTGTGAGAGTGACCAGCAGCACCAGGCATCCCTCTCCCTCCTCCAGCGGCATCTCCAACTTGTGGGTTTGTTCCTTACTCAGGGTTGACAGGTCAACCTGGCACCTAGAAAGAAACATTCTCCATCAGCATGTGGTATTCTTCACATCAAACAAGAGCACATTGGCTAACTTGCATTCAGCTGGATGAAAAAACAAATCAATAGAAATTCCTTCGCAGCTTCTGGAAGGATTTCTCTTCAGCTTCAACCCATGCCACTTACTTGAGTTTTTTTTTTATTTTTCAAAGCTACAACGTGTTATGCATGTGAACAATAAATATTAAAAAGAACATAAAGACACTAGAAACAAGGTTAGCTAACGTGCCTTACTTGAATGCAGTCAAAAAGAATTTAAAAACTCCAGTTTCAGATGCAAATTGTACTTTTTAATTACAACCCTTGTACAAAAACAAAACACAAGTTTTGATGTGAACATTTTTGATACCATTCACCTAACAACAGTAAAAATCCTCTCTTTAAAAAAAATAATCTGTGTGGACTTAATTGTGATGGAGTTAACATGACTGAGCACAGAAAAACACGACTTGAGCACCACCCAACAGGCTCGGCTCTCTTGCAGTAAGCTGTGTGTGGCTCAGGATTAAAGCTTCATGCAGGCATCCAGGATAAAATTTGATGCCACAACCCCCTATATAATAAGATGTCTCATGTTGTAATGAGCAGGGACCGCTTATAACTGCGCAAAGTGGCTGAAGCCAATCCACCCTCCTTGATCCCCTTCGGAATAAGCCTGGGTGTACCATACACTGAACTAATGAAGAACGGCTCCATACGTGCCAGCCAGCAGAAATAGCTTTGCAATGTCTTTAAAAATAAAAAGTAGAGCATGGAAGGAAAAACAGTATCACTGCTAACAAAGAGCTGACCATATTCTTGTTTTAATTAAAACAAGAATACCTTAGGGTTAGCAATTAGTTTGTGCACAGCTTAGAAGTTTTTATATTTTAATTTGTGTAATTCACAAGTTTCAGCTTTCTTAGACTGCAACTCTGAGCATGCCTAGAAATTCAACGCCTGCATCAAATGTAATGTCAGCTTGCACTGCATGGGCATTTCTGTGAAAAAGCACTATTTGGAATACTTCTACTTATAGCATCCCCCAGTAATGTTTTGCTAATTCATTACTCTAAATAAAAACAATAACAATATTGAAATAAAGTAAAAGAATATATTCTATATATCATTAAGTCACCGAATACTCTACTTTTAATAGTGATTATTTAATGTGACAAGCACATGTTCTGTATGCCACTCTCACTAAACAAAACATCTAGCAAACTCTTTCATAAAACGTCAATTGATTTTGAAGAGAAAGATAATGTGGTGATCGCAGGGCCAATAAACTGAGAAAAAGGTGTCAGACAGGAATAAATAGGCATTTAAGGACAGGATATAGCCAATTATGAGAATAAATGTGGCCTCATAAAATGGGTGCTGTGCTATCACAGGCAGATTAGATTTGCTACAAGGAAATTTCCTTTTAATTTTTTTTAAACATTTACTGTCTGTTCTGCAGCTGTCAAAATTAAACTACAGCAAAGCTCATACAGTAACAAGGTTCAATTATTTTACAATGAGAAAAATTTCTAGATGACATAGTATTCTGAGCTTAATGTTTACTTTCTATCTTGAACTCTTTCAGTGACAAGGAGTGAGAAATGAAATTAACAACAGTAAGGAAGGACTAAAGGTGTTGCTCTCAGTGCAGGCTGATGGTCAATACAAGTTTCGTCCATGTACACAGGCTGTCAAATTTTTATTTAGGCTGCAGTGAGGAGTATAAAGCCCTTCTTAAGATAACAAATATGGTAATCAAGCATTCAAAGCTGGATTAGGTTAAGATGCCCCTTGTCTTAAATATTCTTTGATAGTTTATTTCAAAACAGATACTCCTCAAAAATATGTCTCTGCAACAATATTGTGATTTTAACCAATAATCACTGAAAGCACCAGTCTAAACTCTCTTTAAGTCAGTAAAAGAATCAGAAAGTCATTATGATACAAGTAATGCAGAAATAATCCACCGCTCACTCAAAAACAGGCAACAAAACCTACCCCCACTGGAACAAAAAAACCCCTACATGCATCAGAAAACTGCAATGACTGTAAAATTACAGGGGTTACTTCAAAGCTACAAGCTCCAAGTTCTCCAATTGTTGAAGCTACAGCACTTTTGCAACATTAGTAGTCCATGCTACTTTTTATTTAGGCTAAAAGAAGCAACTGACAATTCGATTTTACCCGTGCTCCTTTCCTACAGCTATAAAATATTCCTAATAGCACCACATCTAGAACAGATTACGTGACAAATATGTCTCTGTTGTCTGCTTGATAGATCTCCATGAACAGCCCATCACCAGCTTGTTATTTCCTAAAATCACACAAAGGGTAGGGAGTGATCTGGAAGCTTCTTCCAGTGAAAGCCTTAATCATTTTACAGGAAAAATATCCTCTGAAGGACCCTCAGATAATTTGATAAAAACCTTGGGTTATTCCATTAAGGAATGTCACCACAGCGTTTTATGGAAATCTAGGTTAAGAGCATCTCTGTGCACACACTGTCAGGTGAAAGCACATTTCTCATCCTGTGCCAGGTCCCCTCCTCTGGCCTCGCAGGAGGTGTGGCTCACATGTGTCTGACTCGAAGGTGCTGGGGCTCAAGCAGCATTCAGCATGAGGCAAGTGCATTGGCAGCATGTGCACTTCAGTCGAAAGACGAGACTTTCCAAACTTACAGACACTATAAGAAAAATTGTGATTTTTTTTCCATTAATAGTTGAGTTTTTCACAAAAAAAACCCCCAACTTTGTTTGCTCTCACACCAAATCTTCCTGCAAAAAAAAAATTTTGTTGGATCTACTTTGTCCTCACCAGATCTTTGCATGGGACCAAAACAGTGAAGGAAGCCTGGTTTTATTAAGGCATTACCTAAGCACTAACCCTATCCTAGAATAACCTCTACAGACATCAGTAGGAAACCCACAAAAGTCCTTTTTGGATTAGATTTCCTTACAAGCACTGAAGTTAACAAAATACTTCTAAAGACAAATAGCTTTGGAAAGTTCAAGTTGACAATGCCCTTTTACATTTTACTGAGAGTATATACAAGTATTCCAAGCTTTAAAGCAATGCTGACTTCTACATTAGTTAAGACATTCTCTTAAAAGACATTTGTCACCTACAACTGTTTCCATGGAGAACAAAGATGTTTTGAGGATGAAGGTGAACTTGAATGTTACCAGAAAGTGGTACAAAACGAGCATTGTGGTGGTAGAAATTTTTGTCTTGCATTCTCAAATGGAGGACCATGAAAAATTACAGCCATTTTGAGAAGGCCATAAGTTGCATAAGACTGGTGGCTGTCACACCGAAAGCAGGAGATAACAGTCATTTCAGACAATTCAGTTTCTTATGGAATTATTATTTACATGCTGCTGCTGAAAAAAAAGTTCTCCACCTGTGAAGGGGTCAGCCTGAAGAATTACAGCAGAAATAGCCATTAACTCCATAGACAGATTTTCAAGCATGGCTATAAATCACACTTCAGGGAATTTTAGATTTAGGGCAGTTGGAATATTTTGCATTACTCCGCTGCTCCACGCTGTATGGTCCCTTCAGTGCACACCTGTGTCAGCACCAAAAGTGGTGGGTAGGGGCACTGGAACGATCCTGCTGGCTGGCTGGCTGACCCCTCAGAAGAGGCACAGAGGCACGTCCCCCCAAATCAGCTCTGCACATGAACATTATCATGCACTGGGTGGATCTGGACTTCCAGGCCTTGAGACATCAGAAGGGAGAAAAACCACGCAAGTGCCTCGAGCTCATGTGCCAAAGAATCACAGGTAAGTTGCTGCAGAAACAGGGTACAGCTCCCATGGAGGACGATTGGAAGATTCAAGGGGAATCCACCACTTCTCTGAAACTGTGTTCAGTGTGTTAATTGCCCATACTGTTAGAAATACATTTCTGATTTTTTTTTAATTTGAATATATCTGGCCTTTGGTTCTTTTTATGCCTTTCTTTACTCAGTTGAAAAAGCCTTTAGTGCCCCGTATTTTCTTCTAGTGAAGGTACTCGTATACCATAATCATATCTCTTCTTGATCTTCCTTTTGATATGTTAAACACCTTCAGCTCCCTATACATTTCCTTGGAACGCATCTCTTACAGCCCTCAAATGACTTTTTGTAACTTTTCTGATCCAGTGAAATTCTCCTGCATCCTTTTTAAAGTCTGGAAGCCAGAACTATATGTAGTATTTTATTACCAGCATGTCTAAGAGGTAAAAATCACCTCCCCTCTCTAGTTCTAACAGAACCTGGAATGTAAGACCGCTTTGGCACCCTGGTGAAATATCCTTGCTAATGAATGAATTACAAAGGTAACGACATGACATAGAAGGCCTCTTAAAAGCCAGGTGGCCAGGCAAGGGAGAGACAGCAGATAGCGAGATCATTTTCTCACATGACAAAATAAAGCATAAAAGAGGAATTGGCACAATCCTAAGTGATAGGGACAGAAAAGCACCACTTGGCTACAACCCAGGCAACTTAATTATCATCATGACTTGTTCAGGAAGACAGCCTTTCAACTCCACTGTGATCCAGGTCTATGCTGCTCCAAAGGATGCCAAGGAGAGGAAACTGTGCGATTCTGCAATTAGAACTGAGCTGGACACACATCAGAAGCAGCAAGGCATGAACTGCTACAATCTGTGAGTCTCCATATCCTTTATCAGCAGAGTACAATGTTCCAGTAAAACCAAGAAACAAATGGAGAGGGGAAATTCTGCAAAGCACCGAGAGAAAACGACACGGCTCAAAAAGACAGGACTGCAGTAGCGTGAAGTTCTTGGAAGAACCAGCGCGCGGCATTTTTAAGTGTAAAGATAATGAGAAAAAAATAAAATGACAGGCGCCACACGATGCTTGTGATAGGTGGTGGGTAGAGGTGATAGACTGAAAACCAGGAAAGCTCCCGAAGGACTTGGAGACTGTAACTCAGCTAAGTAGGGCACTGACTGAGGGGGAGTGCAGTGGCAAGCT